GGCCCTCGGCGACAAGCCTATACAAAACGCACCCAGTCTTTTATTCTCCTTAAAGAAACACTTCCGAATGCTACCTTCCACATCTCTTTGGATTTTGCTCCTGACCATTTTCTTCCCTAGACATACTTTCACCCATTCACATGGCCACATATCTCTGCCTTGTTACACATTGCAGCTCAGCTGCTTTTGTGTTCCAACTTTTAGTCATACAGAATCAAATAGCTGGAATGAATGAATTAAAATAATCATCTTAAGTCCTAGCTGGAATGAGTGAAGGTAGACAGATTGATCCAGCAATTGTTCATCCATCCCTTGCTCTTCTGCAAGAAAGGTTCAGATAGTTGGAGAGAGCCAAGAAGATAAGGCAGGAGAAAGAGCTCTTACGGATGTTGCCTGAATCAAGGCAGATCAATGCAACTGTGCCTTATGTGCCATGCAGATCGCTTTTCCACCTTGTACTCATGCTTCAGTAAGAGCTGCCTCTTCAGTGTACACTCAAAAGAGAAGCCAGTCTGCAGAGCAGGAATACCCAGGTTCAGGCCATTCAGACTCCAATATTGGTGAATTTATGGTCCAGAGACACTGTCATATGCACAACTGACCATGATAATATTTCAGATGTTGATACTTCACCTGTGAAAAAGTTTTACAATGTTAGTTTATCTAGTAATCCTGTGGTTTCCTTCCGTTTCTTCTTCATGGTGCAGTAAGAATATGGGAAAGGAAAAAAAGGGGACATTTGGATGCCAACAAACAATGAACAAATACTACTTTAAGTGGGCACAAAGAACATGCTAATAAAGAATAACGTTTTGTCTTTAGGACTTCTAGCTCCAACTGAAAAGATTTTGTTTATTTTTTTAGCCTCTTAACAGGGAAAGCATTGTCAGCATCTAACTCTAGAACAAAGTTCAAAATATCACAAATGTTGTCTCTTATTGTTTCAAGATATCACAAGTTAGCATAAGTTGACATGCAGCACAAAATAAAAATAAAGAAAATGGCAGAAGTTGGCACTTTATCATAATAAAAAACCTCAACACAATGAATGATTCTGTTTAGGTAAAGTTTCAACAGTTCCACCATATTCATTAAGAACAACAGCCATGTGAACCTTCCTGATCTGGAACTCTCTAAGAAGATTCCAGACTGACATTGAATCTACAAAACCAACTTTCTAAATTTTACTGTATATATAGTTGAAGCATTCCACTTTTTCCATTTTCTTTTCCCTTAGACAATAACTACTAAAACAACAAATAAGTCTAATGAAACAGGGTCTTATGCGCTTTGATTAATTACAAAAATCAGAAAAGAAATGACATCTTCACATAAAATGTGGATAATACGGTGAGAAAATGGGGTAATAGCAATTAAAAAAAAAAAAAAAAACTATGCAACTACCTCAATCAACTAGTGGATAGTGTCATGAAAAGCTAGAAAGTGTTAATATCAATCCAAAGAACATTATTAAAATATCAACTAGAGAAAAAAGTCAAGAATTGCCAGGCAAAAAGTAGGCCGGTTTGTGAGCCATGTCTCCCACAGTAGAACTTTCAAGTTGCTCACCCTTCACCAGTTCCCAAAAAAAGAAAAAATAATCAAAGTGATTACAAATCTGCGCGCTATGACATTGACATTGTTGCATATAATTGATAAGAAGAGTTCTAATGATGGAAAAAAGGGTGTGTCAAAGGACGAAATTGCCTGACCTTCTGAACAAAATCAAGTAGATCCATTGCATATGCAATGCCAACTATATTGTCAACAAACTGCTCCAAAACCAGTACCATGTAAATAGAAATCTTTTAACAAGTTTCTTGAAGGAGATAAAGCCTTAGAGATGAATTACCAATTCCCTACCTTGAATCTTGGTGAGTCACCCACAGATGGTGAAAATCAACAAGAGTTGCACTTGCATCAGTTGCAACCACATTAACAAGGGGTGTGATGGCCTCTCTAACATGAGTATCCTTTATCTCTAATGCAGTTTCAATCATATCCTGCAAGGAATTCATAAAATTAGCACACCTGAACTGTAAACAAACAGATAGGCAGCTGTTGGCAAAAAAATTAAATTGGATTTCCTCTATAATTTGAATATTTAAACAGAAATTGTTAGAGAAATATATGGCAAGAAAAAGATATGCTCTATTGTAAATGCGCAACCAGAGTCAAGCAGTAAAAGAATTCAGAAACTAAAGAAACTTTCTAATTCTTATTTGCAACAAAAGAGACACTCAGGCAAGTACAATAAAGAAAAATTAGCTTATTTCACTACCTGCTCTTCCTCCTCTATTGCTCCACTCAACTTTGCCCCACGTAGCATCAGCTTTAATTCATCTTCACTAACATAAGGTTCACTAATTTAAAGAGAAAGAGAAAACATGCAAAGCATTCATAAAGCAGTCAATACAAACTTACACTAACAAACAATTGGAAACAAGAAATGCAAAAGACGAATGCTTATAAATGGCGGATATGATTTCCTTATTCCCATTGATAAATAAGTAACAATTCTTCCCACTAGATGTAGCATCAAGGAAAGCCATGCCACTGGCCTGACCAATGACACAGCAAATGGCATTAGCCAAATAATTTTAGTTTGCTAGCAGTCATCAGCTAAGTAGAAAAGAGTTAAACAGCAACATAGACCATGGAGTTTTAAAGAGAAAGTTAAAGTTTTTCAGCAAAGTTTTAGTTGCAAGTTCAAGAAAAACATCGAAACTTAAATGGAAAACTTACCACAAATCTAGCCACCTCTGTGGGATTGTGAACAGCTATACTTTTTGGAGTGATCTCAGTAAGAAGCCTGTACTCATGCTTCAGTCAGAGCTACCTCTTCAGTTTACACTCAAAAGAGAAGCTAGTCAGCAGAGCACAAATACCCAGGTTCAGACCATTCAGACTCCAATATTGGAGAATTTATGGTCCAGAGACACTGTCATATGCACAACTGACCATGATGATACTTCAGATGTTGATACTTTGGATGTTGATACTTCATCTGTGAAAAACTTTTACAATGTTAGTCTATCTAGTTATCCTGTGGTTTCCTTCCGTTTCTTCTTCATGGTGCAGTAAGAATATGACAAAGGAAAAAAATGAGCTAAAGAAAAAGAAAACAGAATATGCAATGTAGCTAATTTCCATTATCTTATGTATCTTCAGCAACTACATAGCGATCAGAAAGGCGATTCTCTTGTCTCTTTTGAAATGCATTCTCAACATAGGTAATGTTATCCAATTTGTCACCGTTCCCTTTCCTCTTCATGATTTTGGGAATCAATCGAGTTACATCTTTGGCCTCTGACATTGCTTCCCCATTGTTTATCTGCTCAAAACGAACAGCATTAAGCTTTTGGGCATTTGCAGCTAATATCTGCACCAGGGACAACATTTCACTCACATTAATCAGTAATTCAATTGTGTGATCAAGATTTAGAATTATTAGCCAATACAGTTATCACATGGATAATTTATTTTCCAGAAAAAATGTTAAAACTTGAACGTTACACAAGAACGGAGCATATGAATTATTATTATCAGTTGCTAAGTTTCATTTAGCAAACTAAGCCACCAAATGAAGCATGTCAAAGGATGAACAATATAAAAGCAGATTCCTATATGAACAAATGCATGCCCCCATAATAACATTGATTTCAAAAAGTTACATGTAGAAGAGAGTCAAGAGACTGCATGATTGCTAGCTACGTTTATTTTCTCTATGAGATTTTTTACTGAAATCCATTCACTGCTTTTACCCTAGCTCAAGTCTATATATTTGATGCCTTTCCTTCAAATCTTGATGATTAGATCCATCTTCATCATGCTTATCATCATCATCTTTGATTATCCCTTTTGAGGACAACTTTGGTGGGCTCACCAGCCCTAGGGATGTATCCAAATACTTCGCATACAAAACCAGATACTGTCTCATACTGATGTTCCTATAGAACAGCATGGTGAACAGAGAACAATGAATTAGAAATATGAAATTTAAAAGTTAAAGGAACATTTTGATAGTTATTTACAGTGTGAGA